AAAAAAACTTGTAGAAGCGGCGTCTGTAATTAAAATGTTAGAAAAATAATTCTTTTTCCCCGTCTCTCGCTTTCATGGATTATTTATCTGAAACATAAGAAAAAAACCATGTCTAAATTGATAACAATATTCAATTTCAGAACAATCAAATAAGAGTACAATAAAATGACTCAATGATCACATGATTAATACTTAACAGATTCTAGAGTTTCTCACTAAAAACTAAAAGATTTCTCTCCTTGCATATGAGATTTTTATTAAGAAAAAATTGGAAAAGAGTCAAAACTTGAAACGTTATTGATTTTGCAAAAATTCAAATGAACTTTTCACTTTTTTCTCTCTATAATCTCTCTCTTATTTTATCATTTTATTCTATCCTTTCTCTCTATTTCAGTCTATCCATTACGTGGAAGTTCCATTGACATTCATCCGAATGCTAAATGGCAACAGAATGGTCTCACTGTGGCTGGAGGAAATGGACAAGGCAATGGAATCAATCAACTCTCAGTGCCATTAGGTTTGTATGTTGATGATGATCAAACAGTTTATGTCGCTGATAGAGGGAATGATCGTATTATGGAATGGAAATGGGGTGCAACAAGTGGCCAAGTGGTTGTCGGTGGAAATGAAGTAGGAGATGAGGCTCATCACTTGATTAACCCAATGGATGTGATTGTCGACAAAGAGAAAGATAGACTCATCACCTGCGATCGTTCGGATAACGCAGTAGTTGGATGGCCTCGTCGAAATGGAACAAGTGGAGAAATAATCATCTCCAACATTGATTGTGTGGGTTTGACAATGGACGAGAATGGATCTCTCTATGTTGCTGGCGATCTGACACATGGCGTGAAACGATATCGAAGAGGAGAATCTAAAGGAATAGTGGTTGCAGGTGGCAATGGAAAGGGAAATAATCTCAATCAATTCGATTTCTTACGATGCGTATTCGTTGATCAAGATCATTCAGTATATGTGTCTGATAAGGTCAATCATCGTGTGATGAAATGGATGGAAGGTGCAAAACAAGGCATTGTCGTAGCTGGTGGTCAAGGACAAGGAAATGGTCTTACACAATTGTCAAATCCGTACGGAGTCGTTGTCGATCAGTTGGGCACTGTCTATGTGACTGATATGGGGAATAATCGAATCATGCGTTGGCCCAAAGGAGCCACACAAGGAAGTGTCATTGTTGATGGAAACAACAAAGGAGAACAATTGAGCCAACTCAATAGGCCCGCTGGTTTGTCATTCGATCGACACGGCAATCTCTATGTCGTTAATTTAGGAAATGATAGAGTGCAAAAATTCAACATCGAATCCAATAAGTGAAGGACTAGGAAGTCAAAAATATTTGTTTCTATATTGTAAACCTTCTAACCACTGTATACCGGTAAGCGGCGCCGTAATTTTTGGATTCCTTGAAAAATTATAATAAAATATACCCCACTTATAAACAAAGTATCTGACCATATCCAGTAATCCGGGACGCCATTTGCACACAAGGATTCTGAAACCTTGAAAAATTTCAAAATATTCTATTCATTAAAAATGAATAAAAGTGATTAAGAAGCTTCGTTTTTAAAGGTTCCTGATACTTTCTGACACAGTTCAATGCTCAAAAAGCCAATCGTTCTCTGGAAATCCTTGGTTTTTCCATTAATCTTGACCGAACAAAATGCGATGGAATCCTTCAAATCCTTGAATTTCTTCACTTTATCACCGTTTCTGACCGGTTAAAGCGCCAAGGAATCTTTGGAATCCTGGTTTTTCTTTTGTTTCCGACAACTCCTGATTATTCAAAGCGCTAGGCAATCCTTGAATTCCTTAGCTTTCCGTCAATTCTACATTGTCCCTAGTGTGAGCGAATTCTTAGAACTCATAAATTCCTTGGATTCTTTAGCTTCCCGATCGTTTCTCATGATTGCAAGGGCTAAAGAATCCTTGGATTCCAGACCACTCTTAACTGTCCCAAGTGTTGGGAAATAATTGGATTTTTTTGAGTCCTTCGTTCCCAGTCATTCTAAACTGTGTCAACTAGCAAGGAATCCTTGAGATCCTTGGATTCGTTAGCTTTCTCACTATTCATCAATGTCCCAAGTGTTATAATATCCTTGGAATCCCTGCACCGGTTAGCTTTTCCACAACTTCTCACTTCAGAAAGAGTTAGGAAATCCTTGGATTTCTTGAAGTCTTTAGCTTCTCAGCAGCTTTATCGGTCATAAGTGGCGGAGAATCCTTGCGTTCCTTGGACCTTTTAACTTTCTCGGGACTCCTCACTGTAGACAGTGGTAGGAAATCCTTGTGATCTTTATTCCTTAGCCTCTCGATCATTCTTGAGTATGACAAGTAGCACAGAGCTGTTAAATTTTTTAGGTTTTCCAACAATCTTCAGTGTTCCGAATGCTATGGAATCCTTGGATTGCTTAGATTCCTTAGCATTCCAATCATCCTGGGCCGCCACAAGTTGCAGGGAATCCTTGATATCCTTGAATTCCTTTGT